TTCATTAATTTTATGGGCTAGAAAAACTTTAAATTTCATGGTAAACAGAGTAATTTGATTTAAAATATCTTTTTACTCATCGACATATAAATGAATTTAAATAATGATGTATGAATTAGGATTCTCGTGAGTGTAGTTAAACTCAAATAGTTAACTTTTTTTAAAAACTGACAAACTAGCATTTTAGATCATAAGGTAAAAATTGGAACAAGGTATATAAAACATGTTATAGAAAAATGTACATTATATTTTGCTACAAAATGTATTAACAACAATTCCTTAGGCTAAGATAACACGACGAACATAATTATAATTAGGTGTTGAAAGGCATGATGGAAAATGTGTCATGATTGAAACATTATCACTATAAAACATTGAGGATAGGATTGGAAATGAGATTAAAAGTTAAAATTAATAAGGTTTATTAGATAAACCATGGCAGATATATATAAGTGTACATTTATTCTATGAATTAAGGAATATCTCAGAATCTGATAATAAAAAGATTAGGAGATAGTCTCTATCAAGAAATGACTTCCAAAAGACAACCAACAAAAAACAAAGTGATAAACAGTTGTTTTCACAGTGAGGCGAGTGGACACCCGCAATTTTCAAGCCTTGCACCGTGCGCTTTATGCTGATCACAATTCTTTTATTTACATTTCTAACTATAACCGAAATTGTAATCATACGAGAATATTTTATTGTCCAGTGTGTCACCAGCAATATCTGTCTTATTACCAAATTAAGTGAGCCTCAATGGCTACCATTATCAATCGTAAGTCAAGGGACTGAGACAATTTTGTACGTAAAAATCTCAATCTAAATATTAAAAATCAATAGTGAAAGTATTTCTCTTATGTATCTGAAACAATATTCCATTTTGCAAATTACCATTCATTACCACTTATTTCTATTGACCTTCTTTGAAACATAAATATTGATTACTTGAATAATATTCAGTTGATGTTGATGAATACAAAATTAAGATGGAAATCTTGTACAGTTCACTTTGGTATTTATATTAGTGAAGCAAATGAATACAAAAATGAATTAGTTCTTTTTTACTTAAATTTATTTGGATACTTATTTCTTATTGATTAAGATCATGAATCGATCAATGTTAGACGACCACTGAAAACCTGATAAGACTGGACGACCGTTTCGTCGTAGTACGGGACTTTTCAGCAGTGCGCATCCACGATCTCAATCAAAAACTTTACAATCACCACATTCTTATACTGATTGTTTATAATAGACTGTTCTGCCATAAATAGAAGATTCAGGAAAAAAAATAGCAGATCATTAGTTCTAAATGTTTGTATTTTCCCTGTGTTAACGACTCAAACTGACTGTTTCCTATCAAAATATGTGACTTCTAAGAGGATCGGTGTTGACATTTAGTCACAAGTTTGTATTAAGTTTGAAGAATGGCTAACAATCGAATCCAGGATGGTTGGTTTGTCTTGCTTGGGACTCGCCAGATGGATCTACTTGGATTCCAGTGATTACATTCACACTGAAACTCGAGATCACTCTCCTTCACTTCAAACGTCAGTACATTTTTTACTAAGCTGCTGAGTCAATATTCACACCAAGAAAATCTACACCCTGTTTAATAAAATTCATACTCGTTGCTCATGCACGTATCTATCTGATCTTAGCAGCTCTCTAGCGTTTAAAGTGAAAGGTAATGGTTTTGATTATCTGTGTAAATCTTGACACTGGAGTCCATATACATTCAACTGATGAGTCGCAGACAGGAAAACTCTCTCCTCCTGGATTCCACTCTTTACCAGTACCCAACTTCAGCAATAAGTAATATTGTTATAAGTTAAATTTCTCCACCAATGACAAACTAATGCTTTTGCATGACAGACTAAAATATAAGTTCTAAGCTATTAATTCTGGATTAGTAAACTTAGATGTGTAAAATACCATGCATCCGTGCACAGACTTAACTTACTTTAACACTGCCGTTTTATATATCGTGTGTTCATTGTTTTCCTAATCGATGACATTAGAGGACAGCGTAAATCATAGAAAGCTAATAGACCGAGATCATAGATTGAACATAACTATCGTAAAGCATCCAAATGAAGTCTACAAAATTGTGTTCTTAAAGAAAGTATTTTGTGATAGGTGATATCAGTGAGAGTGAATCTACCTATCTAAAATTCATGTAGTCATGAGCAAAACCTTGAAATGATATTCTGTTAGCAAGCTAGCTCAAAAGAATGGGTTATGAAGACCAACCGGATGACAGAAATGTTTTCCAGATTAAATTCAAATAAGAACAATCACTCGGAAAATGAATCTCAGTTCAGATAATATCAGTAGTCCACATGTTAACCTTAATATAAAAAGGACGTTAGGCGAAGTAATGTCATTTATCTGATATTAAAGAGATTGTGAAAACACAATTTAACTTGTAATATATATATATATATATATATATATATATATATATATATATATATATATATATATATATATATATATATATATATATATATATATATATTCTGTTTAGACAGACAAACCTTTTCCACTCTCCGTCTTTTCTCTGAGGTAGATGGGGTATGTATAACAAGAGTGTGTATCACTATCGATTGTCAGAAAATGCGCGTCACAAGAGTAATTACCTGATGAAAGCCAACTACAACTGAACATTAATTTACACATTTTATTGATGTCGGTTTTGTGAGATTAATTTAGTTTTTAAATTGTACTTCCTTATGGAATAACCTCATCTAAGCCTCCATTGAATACGAAGGAGCACATGACAGCTATCTCGTTCTAATAAAAGACTTCTTAGCATCACATATCTAAGATCAGAGATTCAGAGACCTTTGTGAGCATTTAACAATCACAGTACCCGTTCGGACTGAAAAAATGGTTTCTTTTTCCAAGTTTTCGTATTGTAAAGAGACAACATTTAATAGAAAAGTTTGAGAGATTTATTCAATAAACTTTGAAAAGTATCTAGTTACCCATCGACGGTTGTGCAATATTATGGATTGACTTAAGTCACAAACGTGAACCATTAGGCATCAACTCAGTGATTGACGTCGTTTCTCACTGCTGGTGAGTCCCGTATTGAGACCAGGTGACTGTTCATCGGTCCTTAATTTTCAATGAGTCTTTAACTAAGTTCAGTTCATGTATTTATTGACTGCACTTCAAAAATTCTAGTGCACATCATATTTTTCATACGAAGAATATCTTTCTGCTAAATTTTAATTATCATGATGTACAGATTAGTTATACATTATCTAGATAGTAAAACATGACACATTTATTTATTACATTGATTAAATAAGTAATTGCAATTATCTTCTTGTAGACTATAAACCTTAATCCTACTCAGTAACATTTATGAGTGGTATATTGAGGCTTATTCAAATTATTTGTAAAAATTATATTTGAAATAATAATGTTTAACAAACATTATATATTATTTGATAATTTTCATTTTGATAATTACCCTGAAGAAGTCCAAATAAGTTTGCTAGATGAAACGCTGGACTCATTTCAGTTTCAATTTTTGAGATCATATCAAATATTAATTTCATAAATGATGTCTTCCCTGTATTCGGCGCTCCATTTCTGTCAAACTGTTTATTGAGTTTTACTGGTATTGTAGTGAACGAGAGCAACAGTAAGGACAATCTACTGTATTTTAATACAAAATTACTAAATCACTTAGTAAAATCCGAGAACCATACAGTAAATACCTCATTTGTAAAATGTCAATCGATTGTCTCAGACTTGATTGTTCTTTCATTTCCACACAAATCGTTCTCTATTCTCGTCCTCATCCCTTCTATCTTCTTAACCTTCTGTCGCCGGGCATTTCACACTCGGCTGACGATGCATACTACTTATATCTATAGACATCTGTAGCACACACCACACTACGTGGATTCATACTTAGTACCTTCAACTATTTCAGTCAGATATTAGTGTTAGATTATCAAGTCAAAATTCCATAATTCATTCTAAAGATTTCGAATACATCTTGCTGATAAGGTTACCTAGCGTAAAGTTTATGTCTACGATTTACTGCTGACTACCATCAACCATTTAACAAAACATATCATCATTATCGTAATCACTAGAGTTCATCCAAACGAACATCTCTGAGTCTTGATCAAAAGTCAAGAATTGAATGTTTCCGCCATTTGAGGTAATGCAAATAATCAAAATCGGAGATTAGAGATCATGAATGATATGGCTCGTAATGATTAGCAATGGCTCAATTAGACTCATTCCTTATGTTTCAACAAATATATATATTCTATAATTTAATTCCACGATTTCACTTGTTATTATTATGCTATATTATGATGTGATGAGTGGAAACGAGGACCCGATACACACTTATACCATTTCCTACACTACATACAGTCGAGTGATTGAGTGATTAAACGAGAATCATGTATCAGTGAATCCAAGTATTTCGTGGTCTGTTACATAGATATTGTATTGATGGCAATATGAGATGTTTATATCATGTTAAAAATCAGTTGACATTAGAACAAATGTGAAAAATTAGGTATTTTATCGATGACCGAAACGTATCATTTCTTCATCAGAAACTGAAAATACAGAAGTATATATTATGTGAATATTGGTTTGATGATTGTAAACGAGATAATGCTGGTTGTAGAGTATCGTGAATTGATTGAAGCTAGACATATGATTGGATCGCAGTTTGGATGTCTAGGGTTCAAGCGTTCCAGGCTTGATCTCCTGTGGTGTGGTTATGTGCGTGAACTTCTACGCAGTCCCATATTAGGTCGAATCAACTGTCTAAGGGTTTTTGCTTTTGAATGGTGATTTCGCTAAGATCGGTCAGTGATTTAAACTATTGATAAATATTGATTTGAAAACTTATATAAATTTAAATTATTCAAGTAAAAAGAAAAAAAGTTTTGTGAATTGATAAATTTGTTTGATAATTGAACTGAACAAATAAATTCATTTCCAATTTACAGATTATCATCCACAGGATTATGGACTACACTTGTCCGGAGTAAAAAATCACGATAAAGTTATTCGAAAATTCAATAATTTAGCTAATCAACGATTAATGGCTGGTGTTGATGAATTTTTCGACGAACTGGATCATAATAGTACGTTCATTTTAAATAAGCGTTTTGCTTTTTTATACTTGTACTAACCAATGGTAAATAACTGAAACAACTGATTTTGTGTTGAATTGATGAGTTATTAAGTAGAAGAAATTAATTTTTAAATGTATTTGAAGCGGTTACATAGTCGAGTTCGTTGAAGGATCTAATTATTAATGTGAATTATTTTTAGTTTAGACGTCTTATCCTGTGTTTTTTGCAGTGTCAAACTGAATTTCAAAAAATAAGTTTTGTAGTCTTTTGAATGGGTAATCGGTCAGAACATTTTTTTATATTTTACGTGGGGTAGGATTTATTATCATTTTGTAGAAACATTTTAAATGAACAGTTACCATTTATTTCATTTTGAAATCAGCTGTTGATTGTACTGAGATTCAGGTTTTAATGATCTCGATATGACTGGGACAAAATGATGAGACTTAATAACCTAAGTGACAAAATTTTGCCTTTCAAGAAGCAAACTACTAGGTCTAGCCTGATTGTTTTAATCAACGCTAAAACATCGGTTAATCTGATAAACGAACTACAGTTGAAATGAAACAAATGTTCTAGATTCAACTGCTAAATTATTTATAAAAAAATATACACAACTTACGAATTGGATCTATATGCAGACGTGGATTCGAGAAATTGATTAATTCTAGTTTCAAATAAAGATGAGGAATTTGCGGAGATTGTTCACTTTTGCATCTTACACAATGAACTGACCTTAGGAAGGAAACTGTAGTAAATCAAGTCTCATGATGAACGCTTAACTTTTGAAAGATGAGTCCCGCAGTTCTAGCTTGAAATTATGACCAGTTCAGTTCAAGTATGTAGGGTGTAGAGCATTTGACTGCATGTTCAGATTTTTCTACAGGATCGCGAATTAAAGTTTGAAATGCAAATCATGAAATGTCAAATTAGTAGATTGAAGGTTAAGCTCTCTCTGCGACACATGAAAGTCATGTGTTTGGTCCCCATTTAGGTTGTGAATATCCCCTGTAATCAGTCTTACCCCAGAACGAAACTGCTGTTCAGTGCATGGTAGTTCTTAACGACTGTTTAAATAAGATTAATTCGATATGTGAGATATCGACGTAGTCTTACACAATAGTTACAGAAAAATTTAAACGTCTATTAATAGCAAAAAGCAGTCAACTCAAGTTTTATTTTTCAATATTCTTAGCAGACCAGTTCATTTACATTAAATGCTAAACCAATATATTCTTTTTTTATGATCATGCTAACAACATGTATTATATAATAGTTATTAGTAACTGAAAATGAATCTCTCTCTCTCTCTCTCTCTCTATATATATATATATATATATATATATATATATATATATATATATATATATATATATATATATATATATATATATATATATATATATATGAACGAAGAAGACTCTTTTCGATAAATTCTCTTCAGGTTATGTATAATATATATCCAAATTAATAATCCGAAAAATGGACAGGTTTAGGGCGTAGTGCATCATTCAAAGTTATAACATGTGAATTTAGAATTTTTAAACAAAATAGAATAAAGTTGTTAATGTTGATATGACTCACATGAAATGTTATATATCATGCTGTAGAGTCATTTAATAATACTACAATTGCAAAAATAGTTTAATGATTTTATTAGTTGAGATCATCAGTCAATTGAAGCTAGGTCACCATGGAAAACCTGGAGGCACTGGACAGCCGTTTCTACCTACGGTGTGACTCCTCAGCAGTAGGCATCCACGACCCCTCCTAGCGAGAGTCGGGCCCACGACGTATCAGTTTGGCGCGCGAGAATTTAACCACTAGACCACTGAGCCGGCATCCATAGGTCCTGGGTTTGAATCTGGCGAGGCAGGATCGTGGATAGGCACTGCTGAGGAGTCCCATACTAGGACGAAACGGCCGCTCAGTGCTTCCAGGTTTTCCATGATGATGTACCTTAAACTGACCCATAATCTCAACTATTGAAATTACCATGTTATCCACAAAAGCCCTTCTAAAATTGTCTGATGATTAATTAATTATTTCTAAACTGATTTGTTACCAGTAAATCTGCTCTAGATATCGAATAAAATAGTAGTTGCTCGTTTCGTTCATAGGTTCTATTGACTTCATTTGCCTTAGCATTTAAATTGACCATATTTAAAATAATGCACCAACTGAACATCAACAAAAACGAGTAATTTGAAGGTTTTCTCAAATTGTGTTCATCAATAATTGTATGGACAGTGAGTTAGACATTGAAGGAACTCAAAATATTGAACATATTTTTGGTTTTTATTGACACAAGAGGTTAGAGAACATATAAGTTTTTAATCCTCCTTTCAGTCTTCAAGGCCCACAGTAAATTACCTGTGTTTTCTCGAAAATATCAATTTATTGTCTTCATTTCATAAAATCTAGGGAGCTTATATCATGTTTCTCTAATAATCTTAATAGCCTAGGCAGATTACACACATTTATACCATGTTATTTTAAAGCATCAATTTACTGTAAATGATCTATGAATATGATATTCACAACAGTGATTAAAGTTATTAAATTTGTCTAGGATGCTTATTCATTTGTTCCTCACTAAAAATTTGAGGGTTCATGTTGATATTTGAAGTTATTGAGAAATGCCAAAGATTCTAATAATGAATAATTACTTAAAAGTCAAATGAAATACTATGTTTTTCAATACCACTTTAATGTTTTTGTTGAGTACATTCATATAATTTATTGATTTTAACTATAATAAAGTTTTACTTCACTATCATGCATGTAACATTCCTAGTAATTTAATTTTAAACTTCAAGTTCACGTTTCAGAGTATGATGACATTTGAACTTAAAATAAGTGAAGTTACTCAATGTTTAATGAAACTGTAGTTTCTAACATTTTCGAGAACTGTCCCGTTCATTTAATAAATGATTACTGTATGTAACTGCATAACTATCGCTGGTGATATCATTTCAATTGTTTAAAACTATTTAAACCTATCTTCCATGAACATGCTACCCGAGAGCATCCAAAACTGCTGAATGAAAAGCAAATAAAGTGAAATTCGTGTTTGAAATAAAATCATCAGCGAAAATTGTTGTCTTACATGATATAAACGTTCGCTCAATCGACGTAAAATATCCGAAAATACATGTTACCACACGTACATTGAATACTGAAAAACGGATGAGCTACAAATTCACGAACATGTATAACATCTCTAAAGTAAACAGCCTAGAAACTAATGATCAATAAATGATAATCATTAGTAAATTCAACATAATCCCCAAAATTTAAAGAAGTGACATTGATTTGTCTCACATAGTGTATTAAAGTCAAATGATAGGTATAGACTTATCTGTGAGACACCGTTGGAGTACTTTGATTCGGCGTCTAGTCAAAGTGTTGGCTTACATGTTCTTGTCTGGGTCAAACAGTTTATGCGCACTGTAATTCGGTTTGTTAATAGAAGTTTCCAAGTCATTTTTAAGTCTTTAGCCAACATAGCTGTTTGTGGGTGGGTATCAGAAACACGTGCATCTGAATCGTGAACGCAGTAGAATATAGCATAGGTGTTTAAAATGAACTTTGTTTTTCATTATAATAGTATGTCTTTTTCACAATACCATGTATATATAACTTAAAACAACTTCACTTATTTATAATATTGAAAGGAGCTTATTTACAGCATCATTATAGAGTTATCACACGAAAAAATTACAGACATTTCATAAAGTTTAGAAGGTCAGAGTTTTGTCTCAATATCAGCGAATTATTTCACTGTATTATTATAGTTCAGTTATGATGTGTATTAGTTCTCAATTAATGGGATGTTACCGGCTTTATAATATTAATGCGCATACTAAAATAACTAACAATATTTGCTTATTATAATCAGGATTATAATTATTTGACCTAATAAGCAGTGATCTTTATTTCATAGACGTCAGTCATTTATTAGTAAGTAGTACAGTCGAGAAAACGTATCTACAGGAAAGAATTTGCATTTTTAATTGTGATATATTTCTCTACTTCAGATAATTGGAATTTCACTTAATTTTGTTCTCCAGTCTATTCATTCAAAAGATGACATCTTATAGTTGTATTAAACGTACAATAGTGTCTGATGGGTACACTAAACTTAAACACGATGATATTTCGCAAATATCGAATTACTCACTTTTAGTGACTTCATCAAATTTTTAGTCCTTCAGAGTTGACCCTGGTTCTCCTAGCTTTACTGTACGAAGGTCTCCGTGGAATATCATCAGACTAAAATAAACAAAAATGTGAACTTAAATCGATAAAATTAGCCAATTTTTTAATGTTATGCAGCTTCATTGTGATATGAAAACTCTGAAACAAGCGAATTAGGGAGTAAGACTTCGCTAATTTATGGTCATTTAAGGTTTGAACTGTTTAATGATTTACGGATTTGTCTTTGAGGTGTAGGAACAGATGGTTCAAGTGTACACCAATGATATGTTGAATAAAACTAAATCAGTTCAAATCCATTTACTTTCTAAACAATTCGTAATCCATTACTGTAAATCGATTTATAATGACTTTACTCAGCTCCAGTAATTTTTATGATATGTAACAGGTTTTTGAATTTATTTTGTATTCGTTGAATAGATTTATACAGTGGTTGTCTATGGTTGTAGTATTTCAATAGTTGAAAGTTTGTAATTGAATATTTCTCAGTATTATTTAGGAATGTATGTGTGCAGAAGGCCAGTCAGTCAGTCAGTCAGTCAGTAACAACGTAGAACTTTGTACGTACGTACATCAGTTCGAGTTGCCACACCACCTTAGCACAGAGATGCAGTTGTCGATTCAAATCCCGTGCAGAAGGTACATTCGAATATTATTAAGATCACGAACTGATCTAAGTTAGATGACCATTATTAACCTGGAAGTACTGAACAACTGTTTCGTATTAGTTTGTGGCTTAGAGGAAGTGTGCATCCACGACCCCATCACTGGGGATTGAACCAAGGACTTTA